TACCCCCCCCCCCCCCCCCCCCCATCACACCTCCAACTCCACAAGGCTCTCAAAAATCCTGCACCCCTGTCTCCCCCTCCAACACTCTCTCAGCCTTCCCCTCCCCATCACTACCGTCGCTAGCCCAATCAGGTTCCTCCTCATCAAACCACGCCTCTTCTTCCTCTCTTCTCTCCAGGGTATCAAGCTCGTCATCGCAGTCTACAATCCTGTAATCAAAATCCTCATCTTCACCGCGGACGAACCGCTCGCGCAGGAAGGCGGTCCATTGGTCTAGGCCTTCTTCGCGGGTCTGGGCGGGGGTGTCGGTGCCTGTCAAGACTGGAAGTGTGCTCGATAGGCCTGTAGTGGTTCCCGTCGTCGTTGCCGCTGGAAGAGGAGGAGACTGTGAGGTTTGGTTGGTGTTGGTGTAGGCTGTAGATGACGAAGAAGAAGGCTCGCTCAAACCTCCGAAGCGAGGAAGCGGTTGTTGGATTGGTGTGGTGAAAGTGGCGAACATTGCGGAGGTGGTGTTTATAGAGGATGATGTTGGTTCGTCTAATGTCGGTATTGTCTGACTTGGAGGCTGTGTGACGGTTCTCGTCGTCTGGCTTTGCCGGTCCATTTGCCCCTCGATTACCGTAGGCGTCAGTGATTCCTCACCGCCTTCAGTGCCAGAACTACCATCCGTTGCCGTCGCCACCGCCAGCCTTGCGAGCTTCTCCTCCCCCCGTAGCAAAGAGCCTTCCAATACGCGAGCATATCCCTTCTCCTTACCCTCTGCTTCTCGCTCGGCAGGCGTTTGGAACCGCCGAATAAGAGAGTCATATAAAATTGGATCTAAGTACGGTAACAGTGTCAGTTAGTCATCAGTGATGCTATCAGATTGTATCCTAGAGCTTGAAATGGCGCAGAATTGACCATCAGAAGGACATCAGAGATGCAGCCTCTGAGTCAGCGGCATATGGGAATCGCCTTTTTCCGTGGGCGTTTCCCAAGCCAGGAGAAAACGCCGAAAAAATCGTACCAGCGAGTTCATGTTCCGTAGACTTGAAGTAGCCTGGATGCCGTTCTAGGTACTCCCTCCGCCGGTTTCGCGTTCGTATCTCCTGAGTTTGCGCCGAAGACCTGGCCGGCCGTGGGCGGGGTTGTGCGAAGAGAGAATCATTATCGGTGGTGTCTGGACGTCCTATCGAGCCGGCCGGCGGCGGAGAGTCGAAGCTAGGTGACATAGTTGACTTGATAGGTCAACAATGAAAGGTTTGCTCAGATGTGAAATATATTGTGTAGTTGATGAAGATTATGTTATGTTGACCAATTGAATTTTGCGAAACTTGAGGATGGGTTATTTCAGATGTGAAGAGCAATTATGGTACGCTTGCAACTTGCCTTTTTCAGTGACGTCGCCCGGGAGGGGCCCGTCGCTGTGGGGCCGAACGGCGGTGGAGTCGGGTCCTGTTTATCACCAAAGAGTGCGTACACTACAAGAAGTCAGCAGATAGAAAATAGCGATTGTGTCTCGTTTTGCAAAGAAGAGTTCCTCTTCAACCGTGGTGGTCATTGAATACTAATTTGCGGCGGCATCATAAAGTTTGATCCGGATGACTACTGTGCAGTGGGTTGAAATCTCTATCACTAGGCCATTGACCAGATGATGCCAGTCCTCACTCGCATTCATATCCCTGATACCATTCACAGATCCAGACATGATAAACCATATCCATGGCACAATGTGCATGGCCTTCGCTGTCTTGAATACTCCCCAGCCACTGCTTTTTTTTCCCCATCCTTTTGTGTTTAGCTCGCTCGCGGTCACGGCTCCTCCACCTCTCTCGCTCAGTAAGCCCCAGTGCACGCAGGCTCCGTTCCACCACACCCTGAGAAAACATTCGCAGGATCATACGCTTCTCGAAACAGAAATTCATCCATCTTAATGGTCCTTCGCCTCCCATTCCACTGTTTTCCTTTGAAGCACTACACACACCACCAGAAACGAAATCATCTCCATCAAGTTGACCTGGAGGCGGAAGCACAAGGCAATCCCTTCAAGTTCAGCGGCCGAAAAAGAGGTCGTGCTAAGAGTTCAAGTCCACCAAGTCAAGGCTTAGCCATCTTGTTCTCGTTCCATCCGACATCTCGAATTCCACCATCAAGTCCAAACAACGCTGTGATCGAACAACGCTGCGGGGTATCATCATGCATAAGTGCGGAACATAAAATGCCCACAAACGCTGATATGCTAGCCGTAAACTCATGATCATAAAACATGAAAACAACGACAAGGTCCATTAAAGGCATGCCGAGCGTAAAAACGGTACTTCGTAAAGTGTCATTGCCCTGATACCAGAGGGCCATCTGTGATTCGGGAGTGGATAACCAGCCTCCGTGAACCCAATTCAACGCTTGTGTGTTCAGCTAACCACGAGGGCCACTTACTCATACAAAGCTTCTTTCATGCGCTCGAAGGTCAGTTGACAACTGAGGCCAACTTACTGCTCGTAGGACGCTATTCCATGTCCAGGAGGTTCGCCTGGCTCCTGGGCCAGTTTACCCATCCCAAACTGCTTTTTGTCAAAGGAGGTTCAATCTATCGATCTACTATTCCAAGACCTGTTTTAAGCCCACTTTTGGGCTGATGTTTCCCACGAATAGAAAAAAATCAACCCCTAGAGAGCTATGAATTTCTCAGGAGAAATTGTACCAACACCACGGATGCAGTCAACATCATATGGAACCAGCAATTGATTCAAACGCAGCCTTTAATGAACAGAACAACAGGGTTGAGAGGAAAGAAGAAAAAAAAAAAACAGAGAAAGAAGAACGGACTAACCAGCTCAAGGAAAGTGAAACGAACACTGGCAATGCTCGACACAGACAGACAGCGACATCAAACAATCCTCCAAAGACTAGGCAGCCATAATGCTCCGGCCTCCATCGGCGGTAGTCCTATTGCGGATACGCACTTTGAGCACGCCGTGGGCCAGCCGCTTGACCGTCGCAGGTGACGCCGCCGAAGTGGGAGAGGCGAGTTTCTCGGTTCCACTCGAGGTAGCGATGGCAGAGGTTACGGTCTTCTGGTGTTGCTTGTCGCTAGCGGATTGCTGGCCTGATTTGACTGGCCCGGTCTGGACTTGCAAACCGTCATTATCTGTCGTGTCAGCGGTAGGCCGCTCGACGGCGTTGATGGGTTGGATTTGTGCATGAGGAATAGGGCCAGATCCAGCAACAGGCTTGGGTGCAGGTGTCGATGTAGACGGAGGTCGAGGGATGGCCTTCTGCACTCCTATAATTGCACTCGGTGCAAATACCAATGCTTCACCAACTCTCAAAGCTACAATTCTGGAGAAAAGCTCCATGGCAGGATCGCTATAGTCCAGAGCCAACGAGTTAACGCCATCATTTTCGATGCACACATCATCAGCCATGTTCTGGTTTATCGCCAAAGCCTTTTCCAACATCCTCCCGCCCTTGCTCACACCCGCCAAGTGTTTAGACAGGGCCCTCAACCAGTCGGGACTAGTAAACCGATGCACGATTGTGACGCTGCATAGATCGAGGAGTTTTGGTGAGATGGTGGGCTCCTGGGTAGAGATGATGACTCGAGCTCCAAGATGACGCTGGAGGCGGATGGTCTCAAGCAGACGGTCTGTTAAGGTACGACACTCAGCCGAACCAGTGTCCGAGCTCATGTATTTGTGAGCCTCATCAAGCGCAATAACACGCCCAATGCTGTTGCAGTCCTGTTCAAGAAAGAGAGACAAGCAAATGTTAACAATGAACAGGCCATCTCTGCAGTTACGCAGGGACAGGAAAGATCGACAATAGTAAGCATACCAGGACGAGGGGTCCAGTCGTTGCCTCTGCTTGCCCTGGTCGATTTGCTGGATTTTGGTTCACGGCCATGTTCGTATGCCTTGGCATGTTGCTCAACCATAAAGCTTTCCAGAGTGTCAAGCCGCTGTTTTAGAGGAGCGAGCTGTTGATCCGTAAGCTCTTGACGAAACATATTCTGCTTAAAGGCGGTATAGTCAAAGGAGCCGCCCCTTTCTTGCTGCTCGATGCGCAAATCACGTAGCACACGGTTGAGTACATGGAGGTACAGCGGCATGGAGGTACCGGAGCTGACTGCCATCAGGTCAAGCATACGCCTGGTGTCCAGATCCGACTGGTTGAGGCGAAGCTCCTCGATCATGACGTTGGGGAATCTGCTGTATAGCTTGCGCATTGTCCGGATATTTGTCGGTGGGCATAGCACGCGTACCTGGATCTTTGGATTAGAAGACAACCAGGCCACTTCGCAGGGGGATCCACCGGTGTCGGATATGAAAGTGTCATAATGGAACACAATTCCAGTCAGTGGATGCGGAAGAACGTTTGCCTCGCATGGCGTCATCGCATTCTCTAGCAGACAGGAGAGCGTGTGGCTCTTGCCGGAGCCTTGACTGCCACAAATGAAGAAGCTGGAAGGCGCTGCGATATTCCAGAACACGCGCGGATCCCGGTTGGCTGGCTCCTCTGATTCAAGGGAGCCAATATCTCCACCAAGCAGGCCGTATTGAGTGAACGGTTTCTGACCACCGGCAGTTTTGGCGATTGCGTTGGCGTACTTGCGGACTGGCTCCGTGAAAAGCGGGGTGGTCGAAATCTCATTGAGTTCATCCAAGTCCAAGCGATGCTCAAGGAGACGCAAATGTGCCTTTGGGATAAGGTTTTCGTACTCACTTGTCGATTCGTAATCGCTGGTGGCATCGCTTTCCTCCTTACTACTACTTCCCTGGTCCGTACTGGCGCTCTTGGATTCCGATCCGGTCGCCGATGTTGAACGGCGGTCTCTGTTAGGTGTCATGGTACTAGAGAGCATGGCTGAGACAGGATGAGAAGTAGGTTGTTGCTTGGCCGAGGTGGTACCGGGGCTCGACAACGTATGAGAAGCGCTCTGTTGGGTAGAGGTAGTCACCATGGGCAGACTGAATGTACCAAAGGAAGACTGATTCGTGGTAGGAGTAGAAGTGTTTGCAGAAAGTGTAGGCGTGGAGGACTACGAAGACAACCTGACCTGAGCAGTATTACCTCCAAATTTGCCACCAGTAGTGTTGGTAGCTTTGAAGATGCTAGTTGCACCACTGTTAACGACACCGTTGTTGCCAAAGAGACTGACGGGAGCTCCAAACAAACTTCCACCACCAGTGCTATTGCTCCCAAAGGTGAGGCTAGGTGTATCGCTTATCTGGACACTCCTAGTTGCTTTAGAGTTGACGCCACTGTTGTTGCCGAAGAGACTGATGGGATCTGGAGTTCCAAATAAACTTCCACCACCAGTGCTATTACTCCCAAAGGTGAGGCTAGGTGTATCGCTTATCTGGACACTCCTAGTTGCTTTAGAGTTGACGCCACTGTTGTTGCCGAAGAGACTGATGGGAGCTTTGGCTCCAAATAAACTTCCACCACCACTGCTGCTGGTTCCGAATAGGCTTCCAGTGGTCTCCTTCGGTTTTGAGACAGTTGTCGTACCGTTGACGGCTCTAATTGTGCTTGATCCCAAAGTAGATGGATTGGAAACTTTCGCACCACTCAGAGACCCAGTGTATCTTCTGTTCGCCTGATAATCCGCCAGTCTGAGTTCGTCTGCAGAGTACTTCTGGTAAGGTGGTGAAACTGAAATGTGCTGGAAAGATATGATCGAATTCACAGGTTGGCCACTAAACGAAACTTCCTGATGAGCAGAGGGAGCGTAGGGAATAGAGCCTGTGCCTGGCGATGTCAAGCTGGAGGGTTGCGCCTGAGCTGGAGGCGGTTTGAAAACCATCTTGACGATCGACGACCGCGATCCCGGTTCTTATAGCCGAGAAAAATTTCAAATGATGCCTAAATTGACGAAAGTGAGGCCGCGGGTGAGTGAAAGACAACTTGAACGAACAGCGCATGAGAAGGACGGTTGGCAGCCAGAGAAGAAGGGAACCCACATCAACAAACAGAATTGGATTTTGGTGTTGCGAGGACGCTGTGGGGTAAGTGGGAGCAATTGTGGGATGGTGAAGAGCGGCAGAATTTGCAGATCCAACGTTGGGTTTCCCAGGCAGCAATGAGTACACCTTCCTAGGTAGGTACGTATGTAATGTCATTGAATGGTGCAGATCAATCAAACCGCATATGGTTCTTTGAAGGCATTCAGAAGAAAGAATGGAACCCGAATACATTTTAGCTCAGCAAGGGCCTGATCGGCACGCGTGACCGTAACCTGAAAAACGTAACCTCTTTTTCCAAAAAGTGACTTCTATAGTTGCAGGGGGGTAGGCCTTGTACCTAGATTTTGCCAGTGGAACCAGCCGAGGACAGCTAATCCAGATGAAGGCTAATTTTTGGAGCCTTTTGGAGTATTTTGGAGACCATTATCCACTTCTCAATAATTTCATCCACTTTAGAAAAGGTTACGGGTTACGCAGAACACCTCGAAGGTGCTTTGCGTAACCTCTTTTTTGGGTGGAGTAGTGGAAATGTGAATGGAGGCGTCTATACCCTTTTAAGAGCGCTATCTTAGGAGCTATACTCTATAAAGCGAGCTTATGCACCTTTAATTCTTCATCACTCTGGTACAAAGGGATTTGAAGAAAAAGGTTACGCATCCACTTTGCACAAAACGTAACCTCTTTTTGGACCCAGATGTGTGGATTTTGCCAGTTGAAAGAGGAAAAGCTCAAGGTCTTAGCTTTGCATAACAAAAGAGGTTACGTTTTTCAGGTTACGGTCACGCGTGCCGATCAGGCCCCAAGCTGCTGTGATCCAGTTTCGGCACATTTTTCTGTGTTCTACAAACCATCCATCCCATGTAGCGGGACGTTGTCGTCTGGTTCCTTGCACACTGCAAACAGGGCTGAATCGGGCGCGCGAGCGGTACGGGTCGTTGCTCACAGATCTCCATGCCGGACATGCAAGTTTCTTGTTGCCCCTTTTTTCTCTTTCATGCTGATCACCCTCTCAGGTCTACCGGCTTTGTTGGGTATGAAGAAAGAACAGCAAACGAGACGTTGTTTTTCTGAAAGAACGAACATCACAAAAAAGCAAATCCTGGGCTGGGATCTCGTCGGTATCCGTACTATCAATTACCTGTCTGCCCAAACCTGCGGTGTGGCCCCAGGGCCCGAGGCTAATTTTGCTCACTACACTATACAGGCAGTCTATCGAAATCTGCAACGCTAGTCCCCGGCCGCTCCGTACAAAGTGTCGTCACCGGTTGAGGCCGTCTTGGCCCTAGGCCGGACGCGCATGAGAGGCCCGGTAGGGGGGAAATGAGACATTTGAGCCATCAGTCATTTGTGGTGAAATCGGGCAACAAACAACCCGAGAGGAGACCTCCGGCTGGCCGCATCTCTGAGGAGGACCATCGAGGAATGGGCGAAAGAAAGCCAATAGCCATGGAAATCAACGCGCGGTGCATTCTTCGCATCCTCATTACCTATCAGCGGTATGACAGACAGCGACGTCGTGACGCAAGGCTGGGGCTTTGTAGTACCCCAGGTCGAGTCTGCCGTGACTACCTGAGCAGCTGAGGGGGTCGTTCGGGACATGATCATAGGCGGAGTTACTATATTTCATGCTCCACCCCGATTATCCGCTGCTGTTCAGGTTTTCTGCCAGATCACGACCATGGGTTTCAGGCTTCCAGCGAATGAAAGGCGGACGGCGGGCAACGGATGGCATGGCAATTGGGATGCTGCCATATGCTGCGGGGATGCACATCTTGCCTGTAGCTAGCCCGGACCGCGCTAGTACGTGCATTTCCCAATGCATCCTCCATTTCCGCTGTCATTTCATAGCATTTCGTTGGCGCGTCAGACAACTGACTGAGGACAAGATATGATGAGATATGCTACCAGCCACTACCGGCCTATGGCAACGGCTTACACACTGCTAACCAGTCGTACTAACAACGGAACACACACCAATTTCACTCACCTTGTCCGTTGCGAGTCGTAAGCTAACGAACGCAACTTCCACCCTGTGCGATTTGCAGACATGCCAACCCAGGCCGGCATGGGTCCCGACTATTAGTGCCATTGATTTAGAAACCCCCGGCCGTGAAGAAAATGCACGCAGCCCAGACGGGCTGGACAGCAGTTGCAGACTGTTCTGGATCTGGGGATTCCACGACGATCGAACTGTTGCCAAGCATTTCCACTCCTTATCGATTTGCACGAGAGGGAGCGGGACGTCGGGAACCAACAGCAACCCCCCCCCCCCCCCTTCTCCCCTTAGGGATGCCGATTGCGACCTTGCGACCTTGCGAGCGATCCGTATAGAATTGAATTCCAAGTTTCTATCCTATCTATTCGCGCCCCGTAGCTACTTGGTTGGTAACTACTACGTCCCTACAGCAGCACCTACCTCTAGCTACATACTTGCATCCTCTCCGCACATGCTTCACACCTTGCAGCTTACCTAGTCTTGCTTAGCAGCTTGTTGAATCAGACAACGGAAGTTGGGCACAAGGGCACCTCATCCGCCAGGTTTGGACAGAAGCATATGATACAGCCGTCTGTTCATTCCTCCCATCTCCGCCTCTCTCCTTTCCCTTTCTCTCTGTCGTTCCCTCGCTCCAGTCTTACCGACTTTTGCGTGCGGAGCTGTGCTGTGCTGTCCAGTTGGAACAGCCCTCCTCGAAACCACGGCCTCACCACAAACACACTGCGTTGCTGCGGCTCGGCGGCCTCGACGGACTGCAGCAGTGCGTTGGGTCCTTGCGCTTTCACACACGCGTCTGCACGGCGGAATGGTCGATCTCAAGTCCAAGCTACGAGCCCGGCTTTCCAGGAGGAATTCCGGCATATCCTTGCTCACGTCCAGCAAGAGCTACAGCGGCACCGGCAACCATGGCAGCATCCACAGCCCCAACGACGACGCCAGGAGCGACAAAAACCTTGACTTGGAGAGCGTGCGACCAACATCGTCAGTATCCGCTGATGCCATCACCGACGCAGGCGGAAGAGGAGGCCGGGAGCAAAAGCGGGTAGGAAGCGGAGAAGAAGCAGCTGGCGGTGCGGGAACGGGAGCGGGAGCGGGAGCCGCAAATGCTGCAGCCGGAGAACACAAGGAAAAGGCATCGGGGTTTCTTGCTCTCTTGATCGGGGCGAGCCACAGCGCAAGGACAGGATCGCGACAAGCCACCTCTCCGAAACAAGCTGCGCAAAGCATTCGGAGCGTTGACGACGCCCAGCAAACAAGCGAGACCCCAGGTGCTATAACCGGCCAGCCGGGAGAAGACGGCAGACTGAGACAGTACGGGTCGAACACCGACGACACCAATGGTGACTGTCTTAGCAGAGGCGGCAGCGGCGACAAAGACGAAAATGCGGATCTCCAACTCGTTCCCCCTGCGGTTGCGGATCCTGCCGGTGCTGGTGCTGGGTCTGGGCACGTTGGCAGCAGCAGCAGCGCTCGTGCTGGCACTGACCATTACAGCAAGTGCGACACGGGAAGCCCCAACTCGAAAAGTGCCCAGCAGCATGGCGTCAATGCTGCGCCTGCCGCGGCAGGAGGTGCTGCAACCAATGCAACCAGCGCTAAATCTGCCAGCGGCCAGCCACCTGCAAGCTCCGTAACGAATCGCGCTGCCCCTGGTGCTGGCTCCGACTGGACACCCGCTAGCGATCTGCGGCGGGTCTCAATTAGCAGCGCAAGAGTTTCCAGCCTTGCCAGCATCCACGAGGATGATGACCTTGCGCATACCGCTGCCGGTGACGAACCTCTACCGCCTCCAACAACATCCACACTTGCCACAACAATTATTGATGCTGCCACCCTTGATGCCACCACCCCAACCAACCCCAATCCAAATCCCTTTGAAAATTCCCATCATCGACAGCTCGCTGACGCCGCTGCTCAATCTGCCACCCCTACCACCGCCGCGCCCGATATCGTGCGCAGGGTTCGTCTGATTGATTCGGCTGTAAATTCGTCGTCCTCCCAGCCTCCGACGCCTGCACCACTCGCTACATCTGCCGCTGCATCGCCGTCCATTGTCTCGTTCAATTCCGTCGCGCCTCTTTCGCCGACTGGTACCGTACCCCTTGGCCCAAGTGCAGATACTCCTTCAATCGCGCCCTTGCCCCTTTCGACCTCGACTCCTGCCAATCTTAATCTCCATCCGCCGTCTACAGATCCCACTGCCACGCCGGGTAGTCCTACCACCACCGCGCTCTCCACGTCGACCGCTCTCACGCGGCCCTCGGTTCCACCGAGACGTCAGAGTCTTTTGCCCAGTCGCCAGACGACTCTCATTCGAACGCTCCTCGACGCGAACCAGACCGATGAACTCGACACCGGCGCTAACACCAACGACCACCTCCTTCCTATAAGCGCCACCATGGTGACGCGCAAGATCTGGGTCAAGCGGCCGGGTGGCTCCGCGACCCTGGTCACGATCAATGAAGAGGACTTGGTCGATGACGTGCGGGATTTGATCCTCAGAAAATACGCCAACTCCCTAGGTCGCCAATTCGACTCCCCCGATTTGATCCTGCGGATAGCCCCCAGGGAGTCGCAAAGACAGGAGCGGGTCTTGGGCCCAGAAGAGCCAATGGCCCGGACCTTGGATGCATATTTCCCCGGAGGCCAGACAGTGGATGAAGCCCTTGTCATCGACATCCCGCCCCGTCGCACACCAAAGGAATCACCCAGGACCGGCCCCCCGCATGTTCCTCACGGCTTGCCGACGTATTACGAAGAGACACACAGACCGTCGGAAGGAGGTACCGATTATTTTGGCCCTGGCGCTCTCGCCCATCTAGCCCCCGGCATCGGTGGTGGCCCTGTCATGACTGCCCCTGTTAATGGCCCGCCGCAGTCACATTCTCATACCATATCCGGTTTGGGACCAGGACACATTCCCCAGCTACCCTCCCCCGGAGGAACACGGCCCCGTCAGTACCGCGAACGACCGGACCGTCCTCGCCTGGGTAGGCAACATACATCATCGCCCACGATTCTCAACGTAGTTGGAGCCGGTGGTCACGCCGCTACGATCGCAGTGTCTTCGTCAAATCATGGTATGCAGCAATCCTCCGTTTCCAAGGTTCAACGATCAAGGACTCATTCCATTGCCTCGTCAGAACAATCCACGACCGGTGCCGTTCCTGGTCCCCCGGCGACAGCTTCGCATGCTCCTCATGTCCCTTCGGCACCGCCCTTGCCTACTCCGCCACCTGCTGCGCAAGAGCCTGTCCCGGCTATCCCAACACAGCATCCGGTCACTACTCCCCCAGCAAGAGTGGCCTCCCCTCGGCCTCCGACAGCAATGGCAACAAGAACCAAGAAAAAGAAAACCACGCCAGACCACACACCTCTGCCAGCGGTAATGCTCAGTAGTGCCGTTCCACCAATTAATGTCTTGATTGTGGAAGACAATATCATTAATCTCAAACTCCTTGAGGCTTTCGTGAAGCGACTAAAGGTCCGGTGGCAGACCGCTATGAACGGCCGAGAAGCTGTCAACAAGTGGCGCAAGGGAGGCTTTCACTTGGTGTTGATGGATATTCAGCTGCCCATCATGAGTGGCCTGGAAGCGACTAGGGAGATTCGAAGGCTCGAACGCATGAACTCGATTGGTGTGTTTTCCAACAGCAACAGCAATGGAGGAACCAATGGCGGCGAATCTGGCGGCGATCCTGACGTGATGCCCGAGGAAGACAAACTTGAAAATATTGAGCTGTTCAAGAGTCCCGTCATCATCGTAGCTCTCACGGCCAGTTCGCTGCAGAGTGACAGGCACGAGGCCCTGGCAGCGGGTTGCAATGATTTCTTGACCAAGGTAAGTCTTCCCTTGAACACGTTGCCTATCTATCTATCCTGGTACAGAGAGTGTCGAACAGTTGCTGACTGACGGCGTGATATAGCCCATTACCTACATTTGGCTGGAACGCAAAGTCATGGAATGGGGCTGCATGCAAGCCCTTATCGACTTTGACGGTTGGAGGAAATGGAAAGATTTTGGGTCGAGCAATGGCGAGGACAAGAAGGATAATGCGTCCGCGGTCAAGGACAGCAGCGGGATGGCCTCCAAGAAAGCCATCACCAGACCTAAGAGGAAACCGACTATGCAAAAGGAGGTCACAAGCCCACATCACACAGCACAAGCGGCGGCGCCTTCAGAGGTGTCACATACGACCCAGACGAGTCAGACTTCGAGCGACGATAAGTGAGATGTTCGGCGCTGACTCTGACTGGCGTACATCACTCTGCATTTTAGCTTTGGTTGGTCGTATCATATACCCTTCACCTGGCGGTCTCTTATCTTCTCTTCTGGATTATTGTTCCGTTCTACAAGATGGAATTTTTGGTGGGAAACGACTTCGATCACCAAATGGACGATGATGAGCGTCCAGGCTTTATCAGTGGCTGGTACACAACGATGCAACATGACGATAATATTCGTTTTTGATCGGTCATCCTAACCAAGGGACTGGAGGCCAGATCATTCGGACCATCGGTTCTTGGTTGAGATGCAAAAAGGGATCAAGTAAAGTACCACTGAGGAGATGGAAGTTCCAGTTCAGCAATCGTACAGATTTAGGACCGTACCGTGGTCCACATCTCCTGATCTTTACCTGTCCTGTTTACTTTTGTTTTCAAAATTAGGGGGTTAGCGTGAAGTACACGAGGCATGCATACGAGGCGTCACAGCGGATCAGGTTCGCGAAGTTACCTAGTGTTGGCTTTTTTGCAATATTTCTTTTCTCCTCTTCTACAACGGGACCATCCTGTTGGTCACCAAACACCACCATTTCTTTTTGTTGGCGATATGAACAAAAGAAGAAGTAATGTACACAGACTCACGAGCTACATATATCAGCTGCCTATTAAGTGAGCGGACGTTTGTCTGCGCAGCTCAGGATTGGAGCAGAAACAACGTGGTCGAAAATCGAAGACAAGAGTTGAGAGTAAAGACATGCACTTGAGTTGCAAAAAAAAAGTACACTGTGTGTGTGAGTAAGTCGCCGATACCAGATCTAATATTGCCTCCGTTCTTTCTGTAAGGATGCGCAATCTTCAAGGTTTACATGATAGTATGTTGTCGTGACGAGTATTGATGAAGCCGTATCTGACGTTGATTCTTAAGACAACTGACGAAGGGACATCCGAGGCAATGACCGACCCTAACCCTATGCTAGCTCGGGGTGAGAGCAGTAAGCGTGAATCGCGCAAGACCCGCAACGCATCGGATGGAACCAGGAATTGCGCCGGCCCATTGGCTGGTCAAGCTCAGAGAGGGGATGGGGTGGGCCAGGCTCTGCCGGAGCTTGCCATCGACCGAATGGGACGAGTCCAGCGCAATTGAATCCACCTTTGCCGAAAAATTTCCCGCTTTCCCTCACTGGGGACAACAAACCTCTTGTTTCCTCCCACCCAACCCTCCTCACCTCCCACACATTCTCCAATATGCCACCGCGGATACCCAACGCTCCCTCCTCTCTCCTCCTCCAGAGCAGCGCCTGCAGCGGTAGCAGCAGCAGGTGTACAGCTTCCAGGTTGCCGACATGGGCCTCCTCGTGCTCATCTAGCTCCCCTCAGTCCTCCCAACCAACAACACATCAGCAGCAATGCTCGTCGTTCTCCACGACCGCGCCGGCGCACCTCCAGTCCGTCCGTCGCCAGAAGATGTTCTCTTGGTTGGATAAGAAGGGAAGCGCATACAAGGAGCACACCAGGCAGGGACCAAACCTCCTTGGTGGCCAAGGCAAAGACGGTCTTGCCGTGCCCTTTCCGAACAACCCTTACTTCAAGAGTCAGCCCGTCCTTTCCGAGGGCTCACGCGAGATCATCTACCAGGATGTCATGGAGAAAGGTCTGCCTATCAAGGCCGTGTCGGCCAAGTACAACGTCGACGTGCGGCGGGTTGCGGCCGTGATCAGGTTGAAGGAGATCGAGAAGCGCTGGATCAAGGAGGTAAGCTCATCATCATTTTCTTCTCATTGCTACGATGTTACACCCCGTCCTGTCTCCGTCCCCTCCCGATTGCCCAACCGGCCGGCGGCGGCGGCGACCTTGCTTCATATGATGAACTACAAGAAAATTCGATTAGTCTTGAAGACATACCTCATGGTTACAAAGCCTTTTTTCAACTGAGCGAAGCAACCCCTCTCACCTCAATTTCAACAAATTCATCGTCTGGTCAAAAAACATGTTTGGCTAATCCGGTCCGTGTTTTTCACTCAAATAGTATAAGCCCCTGGCCCGTCCGTATGCCCGCGCCGTGATGAAGATGCTACCCCAAACCGTCCTCGGCGGCCCGGACCAGAAGCCCCATGAGTCTATCAACGACGTGCATGTGCACAGCTACACCACTCAGCAGCTGTTCGTGCCCGTTTCGGAATCGCGCGAGTTCACGCGCGAGGACGCCGCCAAGGCGTTTGGTGACCACATCCTGCCCGTGGACAAGAAGCTGCGCGTTCCCGAGCTCATCGAGTTCCAGAAGGACTTGCTGAAGGAGGTGCCCCTGCAAGAGGCGAACCGCAAGTTCCTCAACGCGACGGCGGCGAGCGAGGCCAAGATCGCCGAGCGCGAAGCTAAGCGTCGCCAGGCGATTGAGGATGCAATCACGCGTGTCAAGACGGATAGGTTCGAGTTCCGCTTCCAGGAGTTCAACGCAGAGAATGTGGGCCACGACGGCAGGGACCGTAACGCTGTTGGTTGGAGGTACGGTGTTCCCTTCCCCGACCGTAAGCGGTCCCAAATCAAGATCCCTACCAAGGTGGAGTAAGATCTCTTGGGTTTTTGTGGATGTTGGCTCGAGTTGTGGGACGAATGAGTGATGGTGATGAGGGGTTTTCCGTTGCCCGTTCATTCACAACAGGCCCTTTGATGGCTCAACATTGGAACTCCTCACCGAGTATGGTTTGATGTGTGTTGAAACGGGCGGGGTTGGTACGCGGACGTTGAGAAACCGAATGAAATGATGGGAAGTCGATGAGGGTTGATCGACATGCACGCACACAAAGACAGAGAGACATTTTGAGGTGGAGAAACACAGCGTCCACTGGTCGTCATGTCTGTGCTATGTTTCGTTCCCATGTAAACTTATTGCTGTCACAAGGCCACCGACGTCTTTAGCAGTGTGGACCTATTTATTGTATCATTATACCAAGCCAGCCAGTTGCTTTATGCTTTATGATTTTTCTCTTTCCTTCCAAATTAATTAGTCATGTGGGAAACGAATTAGGCGGCTAGAAATATGATCCCTAAAAACTAGAACCCATCTTGATTCATGCCGTGCTGTCTCGAGTGTTTGCTGGTCTTCTGCTCTTCTCGCTGATCCAAGATCACTGATATATATATATATACATCCATATATGACACAAGTATCCGGAACCATTGTGCTATCGAATTCTTCAATCATATATGCACCTCGGCTATATCTGTCAAGACAAGTTCAAGGTGCCACAAAAACAAAACATTGATGGGTGTGACTGAGTTCTTTGGCCAAGAGCCGGGTAAACCAGAGTTGACTTGTAAACCATCAAAGTTGTCCACCAGACAGAGAGTTTGAACAACCAAGGATTGACAACAAAAGTTCAAAACACCCTCGATCCAATGAACACCAACTACCATGCATCATGAAGGATAGCTAAATACCTACTGTAACGTGATAGCGAAGGGAAAAATGATTTGAGAGATATTCCGTCTTGTCCGAGAAACCTCTCTGTATAGAAACCCCCTTGGAAGCAGGTCGGTGTCTCTTTACATTCCTACATTCCTACTGTACTTATTCAAACTTTCACAAAATCAACGTTCACTACTTACGTAACCAAAGGGGCAGGAGGGGGTCTCGGAGAATATATATCAACTACATACCTACCTAGCGAACGAGAGATTCAGCACAGGGGCTTGCTTGATCGAAGAAGCCTTAAAGAATTTTCTGTTTGGTCAGAGATCGATGTGACACACATGCAAAGTAAAGCGTCTGGGAATAAAATACTCGGCAAAGCAAAACAATCACCACAGTCAAAACCCAACTCGCAATCACGCTGTGTGCCCAGCTTCATTATCAGTGTAAGTAGGTGATGCCATGCTCCCAATTTTAACTGGATCACATCCCTCGATCAAATAATCTCCTTCTGCCATCTCAAGTCATAGACCTAATAACCAGTTGCCGCTGTATGCCCAACCATAGCCATTTGTCTATAGAGGTATATGTGCGTTGTTTTTATCCGATATACTCCTCCATCTCCATTGAGTAACCGCTGGTCCCAGGCTCCCAGCCCAGCCAGACTAGACGAGAGCAACGTTCAATTCGTTTATGTGGGATGTAAGTATATGCCGCTCCTACGTCTCTTATATCACACACAACATCCGCCGCACATTCCAACCCCGGATGCTTTTTTTGGTGTAAACAGTTGATGAGTGATGTACGAACGGATACGAAAATTCAAACAATTTCAAATGCTGTATACAAGCCCTCCAGTACCCCGTTCAGAACCTCTTGCAAGTTGCAATTCGGATCCAAATACTCAGAACAAAAAAGGAAAAAAAAAATCGACGCCAGGTTCGAACCTTATCCTTTCTCGAATGGATACTCCCTTTTGTCTTGTGGGCCTCAAATTCCTCCTCTATAAGATTCCCCTGTTCCCCAAGTGTGTGCATACGCTTTTGAATTGAAAAAAATTGAACGGGGTATCAATAACACATGTCCTCCAACAGACAAAAAGGAGGGATGATGCAGCCTATAACCTGTAGCCTGAGCCCTCCTTTCCATGCCATGTTCATGCACCATTTGGATAACGTGGATGATAGAAACAAAAGAAAACCAATTTCCTGAAAATAATCGCTTCACTGCCCATGAGTGCATCCACATTGACGATTCAACGACTGATGACCCAACTAAGCCCATCACCAGCCACGGTCCACCTTAGAATGATGACTTCATGTCCCAGCCAGGCGACTTGGCCTCTATTCGTTGTCTCTCCTCCACTCTGATGACCCTGGCGATGTCCGCGTTCTGTGATCCGGCATCCATCACCACAGCGGCTCGTCCCCTGCTCAAGTAGCCGTCTCCATTGCCGTCCAACTCCATCGGCGTAACAGGTCCAGGGCTTCCCAGTGGCACAAGCCTGGGAGACAGGGGCTTGTGCGTCTTGAGCATTGTAGCCCCTAGTTGGATGTTCTTCAACGCCGCGTTGTCAGACATCCTAGTCGACGGTGACATACTGGAGGCGTTGGAGAAAAGCGCCATTGATGCCTGGGCCACCATATCTCTCTGATACTGTTCGACTAGGCGCTTAGCCTCGGAACCTGTGCGTAGGCGGCTGTTCTCTCGGCGGTATTTCAGCTGGGGTTCGGAGTGAGCAACTCCTGCGGCATCCGCTCTTGCTGAGGGCCTCTTGTACTGGTTTGAGTTGCTGGCCATCCGGTTCTCGTAGTTCGTCGGGTAGTACTTTCCCATCGGAAGCGCAATGTTGTCGTGAACTCCAGACGGCATATAGGAAGACACCGGCGTATGCAGGCCAGTTGACCCAGTGGCACCAACTGAGGAGCCCAAGTGAGAGTGAGACAGATCGTTTGCCATTGTCCGTACTCGAGAATCAGTGAGGGGAACAGAAAAGTGTGTAGTTTCGGCCGCCTTGTGTAAGGCTTGATGGCGTGCCTTGCTTGGATCAAGAGTGAAGAATGGGTGAGGTCGATGAACTCGGGTAGCTGGGTCCTCGTGGTGAGGGAAGTATCCCCTGCAGTGGTGTCAGCAGGTATTTGCTATGTGCGAAGTGCAGCGGAAAGAAAACAGAGACGTCTTGACAAGACAGACATACCCTTGAATGTCCCCTCGAGCAGAGAGGGGTGACGGCGGTGTTTCAACAGGAGCGGTACTAAGTCTCCTGGTGGGTGGTAGTTCAATTGCGATAGGTTTGCTTCGAGTTACGACCTTGGATGCATTCTTGGACTCTGACACAAAGGTGGTGGTTTGAGATTTACTGTTGACTTCTAGGGAGGATATTATGTTAGCTCAATGAACCCTAATGACATGGACCATCTCGGCATCCATTCTCGCGACCTCCGCTATGACGCAAAAATTACATGGCTTAACAGTGCATGTATCGAGCACAATCGCACTTATCCCATCGTACCATATTTCCGCATTGGGAAATAACCAAACATTTGTGAGTCGTGCGCTGATGCCAGGGCATTTGCTAAAGCGAGGGTCATGCAGGGACTTCCAGGGCAGAAGAGCTACTAACGTCGCGCCCAATGGCCTTGCAGTGTCGCGGGCATCGTGAACTTGAGGAACATGGAAGATTTCAGATTCCCAGCTGACACCCCCATGTCGATCCCACTAGGGACATCGAGCCAGCGCTGAACATGAAGCCTAAACGCACCGTGACGACTGACGACATGATTCAGGACCCCAAAACAGCCCACCTGACCAGTGGAAAACAAGGCATGGAGTGGAACTCTCGCAACATCATTGGAGCAGCATCGTTTTCGTCGCTAACCTCGGGGAAATGCATGGAGGGATCGGAGGAAATGATGGAAAAATTCCAGAACAAAACGAACTTACCTCTGGTACCGAAAAGAAGGGCATCTCTGCCAGCAGACGCCACATATGAGGGCGGGATCTCCCGCACGGGCGTGTTACCCGCGGAGAAGGCGAACTGCTCGTCTGATAAGGGGCTAGGAGACGGGCAGGAACCGTGTGAGGAACCAGACAACGTTCTCCGAGGCATGTTGGGCCGCATTATTTGTGACGGGGTGAATGAACGTTTCAACGAGCTCCCAAGAGTTGACATTGCGGTAAAACAGCGATTATGGTGCTGTTTGGGTGTAAGGGATGTGTTCGAGGTTGGAGTAGGCTTATGGCAGCTCGTGTGCTTTATGCCGATTTGATGTTGCAAAGATGTTTTGCTCGGCTCGACGAAGGTGTCCAGGGATCAATCGTATGGGAGTCTTGAGAAGTGCTGGAAATGTTCGTGGACCTTGATGTTTACTTGCCGTGTTTTTGTATAAGATGGACTAGGTACCTTATCTTCTTCTGTTATGTCAGTAAGCTGATCGGAACTAAAAGATATAGGGCCAGTGATCCAGCTGGCAGATAATGCTAGGGCTCTTTTGGCCTGATCGGGCATACGTGTTGAACATCACAAAAGCTGCACCTGTGGATGATAGCATCAAGATAGCAACCTATCTCTCTTGGATACCACCTCGGTTCCTCTGGATGACGAAATATCGCTGAAGCCAATGTAAGGGTTATGCGAACGTACCAGTCATCAAACAGCGCATACAATGACAGCTGAATAAGCAGACAAGGCCTGCAAAAGGCTTTGTAGAAGAATGGCAAAATAACGGCCGCCAGTATCTTGTATGCCACAACGGAGTAAGGTTGCGAGGTACTGCAAGCTTGGACCAGCTGTTGCGCAATGTGGTGTTTGCAAGTCTCGGCGCAATGGCGAAGAAGGTCGAGATAAGGCAGTCAGGTGTAAGCTTTCCGTTTGCCAGCTGATCTCTTTTCTTGTGTCAACTGTCCTGTAAATGTTGGTCGGTAGAAGTTAGGCGTGATGGCGAAATCCCAGCGCTTAAATCTGCACGGGTTGCAATGCTTGGTGTACTGTTGTTTTGCAGGTTGTTTTCCTTCTCTCCGTCGGGGCGGTTACCACCTCAGTTGATGCTTCCTTTGTAACCTGCGCGGTAGCTGCAAAAGAAGGTCCGGCAAAGGCGGAATGGCGAACTTGGGTTTCAGGGGGTCTTGAGCGCTGACAGATATTGTGAAGCCAGTGAAGATGGTCGCTGGAAAATGTGCCTCGGCGTGCTAGAGGGTATCGTGAACTGCCGCAACGTAGCCTTCGGCGGGATCAAGCTCGTCAACTGTACGAAGCTGCCACAGGCCTGACAGCCACCACCAGGGCCTTTCAGATAGCGCTGATGAAGGTTGCTGCATGCCCTGTGGTAAGACGAGAACAGACAGACCGATGATCTGGTTTGCGGAGGCGACGACAAAAGTAATGCGAACGTGTTCTTTGAACGATTTATTGTCTGCCGTAGGTCAAAGCGAAGATGAGAAAGAAGGCGAAAGCCGTTGGGCAGCCAGATGAGACGGTGGAGGTTTTTGTGTTGTTCTTGTAAAAGATCCAAATCGGTGGAGGCGGGATGACAAACACTGAACTTTTGGGAGGATCACCCTGATAACTTCCACCTGAGGACAGCCCACCAACCGATATACGTCCACTGGTCAATGTCAATCATGTGGAATTGGAACCTCCCTAATCCTTGCGGACTGATTGCCTTTTTTTCATCCTGTTACTTCGAGGTTCGATCTTCTTTGAGAGCCACTGCAAGGAAGGAGAGAAGGGGGCATCTCCACTGAACTGGACGACTTGGCGTCCTGAGTGGACAAAAAGAGTGCGAATCTCACGAACTGAACCGAGAATGGCAATATCGATGTCCCTCATTAAGCGGGAACGATCCGCTTGAATCCAAGATGATACACCTGTAACAACCGCTACTCGAAGCTTCCCTTTTATCTGAACCCTGGATTTCCAACTTCTCTGGATTATCACACACACAGTCCCTTGTCTGCAAACATTCTCCCGCCAAGGTCTGCTTCTTATCTCAGATGGGCGAGAAAAAGGGGTCTGATCTGATGACTGGGATTGTTGACCATAAGCACTTTTCAGTGCCTGACCAAGACCTCAATTATCCTTATGAACTCCCGTTGGTCCACCTCACAAGTCATTCAACCTGCTCGTCTGCCCGCCTGCCCGCGTGGAAAGGAGTCGAGAAACAAAGAGCCCGCTGACGTTCGGGAACCGATCTCCGAGACACCGAGTCTTCAAAAACACGTCTTCATTCGCAAACTTGGCTCAAGTTTGCTAAACGCGTAAGCTAACGGTTCGTTGACCAAAGAGTTCGCAGGTGCTGTCTGTTAACTGCAAGCTGAATCTGGTTGAAGGTGAATTATGTATGGAAAACGGCTACTAATCCGATGGTGATAGTTAGTTCTGCCACCACAACAACTTGGAAGGATAAGAAAGGACTTTTCAGACTTCGGGGGTCCCATTCGAGACTGGAGTTATCCAATTCTTGTACACCACTCACCATGACCCGACGCTCTGCCAAGTGGGAATGGAACACAATCAATCTTCCCGCTCTCTCCCCCTCCTCCCCCTTCTCCCTGCTCCCAACCATGCTGATCGCTGCAAGTCTCGTACGACTGGCTGTGGGGAACCACCACCCCTACTTCCGATTTGTGACAAGTTTGCAGAAGGAAACCACAACAGCATCGAGCAGTCGTGAGTCGTAAAGTGGTTGTCCCTTTTGACACCTATCGATTTATCTCATCTATTATGCTCTACCAGGCCGTTTGTGTTGTCTGCATGGACTATATGATCGCGTACATGACAAGTATATTCCAAACCATGAGAACGGTACCCGGCTTCAGCAAAAATCTGGAGCGGGGGAGAAGAACAGCCAGAAACAGCCGGATCTACCTAGGTAGTGTGAGGCTTGAGAAGGTTGTAGTTGCATGGCTCACAGGGACAGCGGCATTGTCATGATTTACTGCAGGGGACGCCATCTGAATGAGGCTCGCAGTGATATGTACGCTATATAACAAACGGTTCCCGTATTCCTTGAAGTTATTATATCTGTTCGTCGTCGCTTCTATCCCTCCTCGACAGTGGGTAGCCTGGGCGCGTGCTCACGGGTTATGGATACGAGAGAATAAAGGAATGCTGCTGATGTCGTCTCGTGCTCGTTGTCTCTCGTTCTCAACCTTAGAAAGGCAGCCGCCGTCAATGAGCTCGCCGCGTGAAGGTTGTCCCTCGTTGTGCAGTAGGACAGTCAGCCAGTCACTGCAGTGTCCACAATGAGTACAGTGTCTTGATGATCCTCTGTCGCTGTGGTCCACAGCGGCAGCATCCGCTGGGTAGCGATTACTAGAGGTGCTTTTTTCATGGTTTGTATTTTGCTGTGAGTAGCGCCCATGTATTTCCCAATGCTAAAACATCATGTTTAGCAGTGATTGTCCAGTTTCCAACATTTGCATTGCTCAAGCACGGCAGTAAACATAACACCATTCTCATTCCGGGTTCACGCCGATTGTGCCGAAATCGGGTATGTCTAGCATGAACTGCAAAGTCATTGTCGTTGTGATGCCAGGCCGCCCTACACCACAGCGTAGCGTTGTGTCACTTCAGGGCACTTAGCTCCAAGCCTCCAACCCCAGGTTTCCATCCCTGCCAAGCTTGCATCGCCGACGCCAACCATTGCAACCAGCGAATCGCCTCACTGGGATCGGAGGCCGTCAGGCGTGTTTTTCCAAGGACACAACCCCTAAAACTTGTTGGTGCCCCTCCCCGGATGGAACGGCGAGAGGCCGACAGGAGTTGGGTGCCGATCTTCCGCTGATCCTCTTTCTTTCCTTCTGTTCCAGCTTGGCATTAGACCATGCCGAACGTGCGTGCGTGCGTGCGTGCGTACTGCGGGGTGTGGTAACTGTGGCTGCTTTGTGTCGAGCGCACTGCAGTAGTGTGCCAGCCCATTACCGCGTTGGAAAAACATATTGAAAAAGAAGGAAGAATAAAGAATGGAAAAACCCTCCAGACCCCTATGGGAATAACAAAGAGAGGCTGATATCGACGAAGGAGATAGGCGATCGGGGAGGTGGGGCCCAAGTCCTGGTCGATCTTTTTTTTCAGTAGCGCGTATCTCGCATCTGAGATAACTGTAGGACCGCTAATCTCAGACTTGAACTCGCTCGACTTGATGGAGGCCATCGTTAGGCACCTCTAGATTCGTTCTATTTCCGTGAACCACAGATGATCCTAAGCAACACAGCAAATGAGAACCAAGCGGGAATTGGACCTCATGGTTAGTTGAAGCCTGATTTCCACTTTCCTTCTGGTTTTTGAAAGGGCGACTACTTGAAGCGGTAGACGGGAGCTGGAGCTTCATCGATCCTTCTGAACGATTGGTTGCAGAGCAAACGCACATCTTTTGTGAGACTTTCATTCGTTTTTCTCCCCTGGAGCCTGGCTGCTGGGTTTCGGGTTTGGTTCTTTTTCTTTTCCCTTGAACGCTGCAGGGTCCGGGTGCTCCTGGGTTTGACCCTAGTGGTCCCTGACCCTGACCCAGAAGCCCTTGCCCGTGGCGCCTACGGGCAGCATTCCCGAATGCGTTTGAGGAGCGGGGAACGTCTCGATTGCCGATAGGGCATGACGTCATTAGCATATGGATGGCTTCTGCGGAAACCGCGATGGAATACCTTCTATGTATTAGGCCTTTGAGAATCGCTGTATAACTGTACAATTGTACTTGTGCTCACGAGCAGATCTGCGTCCTGCTTATGCGATCCACAAAGATGGATTTGTTTTGAGACGAACCCCTGGATGGGGAACAGCGGAAGTTTGTTGAGCTTTGGGCGGTGATAGGAGGGAGGTGTAAGGGCTGCTGTTAAAGCTGATTGCTATCTCTACCGACTTGGAAAATGATGCATGTGACGAACCCCAGGAAAAACTTCGAGATCAAATGAACTGGGGCTGGAAATAAATGTCTACATGCGAGCGCCAGAGACCACGCCCTTCGCAAACCCAGTTTCATGAATGAAAGTCCCGTACCAAAATCATATGGTGTTACAACGCCATGTGCCATATCCCCTGGGTATCAACCTGATTAAGTATCCTCCTATACCTGCTAACCCAACCTTAATTCCCGTCCTTCAAAACCGTCTAGCTATCTTTTTAGACAATGGCGCGTGAAGTAAACAGACTTCGAGTCTCCCGGTGCTTGAACCAGTAGGCCAATGCAGAAACGGCGATGACGAGCCAGAGAAGCATGTTGACGAGGTCCACCCAGACGGCATGCTTCATCCGACGAATATCATTGTTGCCCTCAGGCTTCTCATGGATGTACATCTGAGGTATCAGTTAGTCTCTAGGCCACGTTTGCATGGAAACAATTTAGAGGGTCAACGTACGTTCGCGAAGACGCCAAAGACGGCGACCCAAAGAATAAAGAGGATAAAGTCCCACACCCATTTGAAGGCAAACCGGAGGATGAACGGGATGCAGAACAGAATGGAGGTCAAAGCTGACAGGCCGCCAACAACGACCGCAAATACCTGCGATGTCTTCTGTTAGCATGGGGAGACGAACTTGTTGGGGTGGTACACTTGAGATTGACATACCCATTTCGAATCTGCATACTTGTCCGCCTTCCTTGCACGATCCAGCTCGACGCCATAGAGACCACAAACAGTCAAAGCCAAAGCAAAGGCTAGAAAGTGCAGGGTCGAGAAAAAGAGGTAGCTTTTGCTCGACGTTAAGCCGGCTCCGAACGCCATTTTGGTGGAGATATCAGTGACACGGCGCTGCTAATCGCCTATGAACCCAGTGTTTGTTTTCTTTTTTTCGTTGGAGGTCGGTGAAAAGTGTTTTTGTCCAGGTGAGCCTTCAGTTGGACAGTGATCGAGAACGCTTTATGTAGGTAAGAGCGCAAGGTCAAAATGGTCTGACACAGTCGAGCAGCTCGCAGTGCTGGTGATGCGAGAATCTGGTGAGTCGGCGGTGGATTGTGGATTGTTCTAGTTGGTGATGGCCAACTTTCTAGAGAGATTGGTGTGCGTGTTAAGAGATGATGATGCTGGGAGTACTAACATCGATGCAAGACCACAATCATCAGGTCTGGTAGGGTGCGGAAAGAGCTTTTGTCTCTTTTTTCTTTTCCTCCCTTTACCAGCGATGACGTAGAGGGCATTTACCGGATTTTGCTGCATTTTAGCGGACTGGCAAGCGCTACCTACCCTGCGCACAGCAAAGTGCACCCTGACTGTGCCTGCCCTGCTCTTGTTCACACAGCGCAAATGCCCACTAACAAAAAAAATCCTCGTCTGGAATGCAGGCGCGAGATTCCGAAACTCTTCATCTGTAATCATCTGTACACTATGCATCTCGCGCAGTCCTTCAACATGATCTCATCATCCAATCCCATCATGGATGTTTTGACGTTTCGATGATCATTGTTCCTGGGCTGGGGTTGGCCACGACCAGGACAACCTTATTCCAACTGCAAGCCATCCGTCTATATCTTCTTAACTTTCGTGTTCCTTATCAGGACACAAGATCAATATGGATGAGCGCGGGTTTTTGAACTCGTGTTGTCTACTATCCTAGTTCACTACTGACTTTAGGCTCAAGAATCCGCCTCGAATTAAGTGTTGCATTTGGAGCCTCGGCTCGCCGCGTTTCCTTCTTGGCGATAGCAACAACATGAGAACATGGAAGTCACACTTTCAAGGTGAGCAGACTTGCATACGCAATCGCAAGGACCGCTAGCTGTCTCATGTGGGACATTGGGGGGTATCGCTGAATATGCCGGTTAGGCTCTTTCCCCAGTATCAACGGCCTGGTTGACCTACTGCTGTGTTTGGCAGACAAACTGCCTTTCCGGGCAAAGTTCCGCGGGACGATATTGACTGCATCCGAATCTGCAGTTGTAGACTAGACTCCCAAAACCCTCCGATGGTGGGGTGAGGCTCTGCGGGCTGCCAACATGACGGCTGGTTCAAACTGGCGACCTGGCGTCTTATATAATGGGAGATCACCTCGCTGAAGGATTTTGGTCTTACCTTGCAGTATAGACCTAGCGGTCAAGTTTTGGTCCTCAACTGTGATGCTCCAGCCGACAGAGCTTAACGCCCCGTGATGGTGTCGACGACGACTTTGTTCACGTTAAAGGGTGTCTGAGGAGTAGTGTTGCTAGGGTATCGAAGAAGGTTCCATGAGCACTGCTGGGATGTATGGAAAAACTGTTCTCCTCCAGAGGTCGCATTACTGTTCTAACCAGACTGCAGATTCAATGTCATGGTCCGAGACATCAAGAATGGACAACATACGCCGAAAGATTTTCAATAACCGTTACGAACAGTTTTCCTTGGACGACTTATGCTACCCGATTTAACATACAAGCGCCTGTCGATACACATGTACACAGATGGCGAATGATTACTTTCATAGCAGCCCAATGAGATCGATTGACCAACATTGTTCATGTTGTGATTGAGAGAGGTCTGAAGAGGATGGCGCAACACGATGCTCACCGCGATCAAGGAAGTCCTTCCGTCTGAGCAGTTGCATACACTCTGCCTTAGTTGGTCCCGCGTTGGTTGTGGACAATGTGGTCTATGATTAGTTTCAATCAACGGCATCCTACTTCAATACCTGACCACAAAAATGAGTTTACAATCCACAGAATCTCACAGTCGTCTCTCCGAAATGGTAGTAGGACTCCCATTTATGGCAAGTTTGCTTCTGTTGTGTTCGATGTTTGGTGCGCTTTTGCTTTAGAGCCACTTGTACTGATTGACTCTCATTGGATGGTAGAAAAACTCCATGGAAATACAAGTTCAGCCAGAGCTTGTTACCATGCGCTTCAACTATGCGCATCTCGGCTTCAATCCAACGTGCCTAATATCCGCAGTCTAGCCATGGATCATGGCGATAGAGACAGACGTGGTACAGAAAAGGGGGCTTGGATTCAAGGCGAGAGGTCATCATTAGCGTACGGTCATGCCCTCACATCTACAGTGCGATCGAAACGAGAGAAGAGTATCGATGCGTCACTCACATTCAAGAACCGGTCGATTAGTCTCAATCAGCTCACGAGTGTCCTATTCTCGGTCGGTAAAGGGAGGCTTGGCTGGCTTTGATGCCGTCGTCAACGAACAAGTTGACAATTTTTGCAACACAACGTTTAGTCAAGGGGACATCTGAGCTTCACCGAACAGCTCATTTTACTCTGGGGTCCATACGCTGGCTTTTTCCCACAAGCTGCGCTATCCAGTACGCCCTTCGCCATGATCCACTCGGCGTGAAGCTTTTTCCACGCCTATTCCTGGAGATTCAGACAAAATTCCATGAGACATCAAGGCGTTCACCGTGGCCATGCGGCTCGCCTTGAGCTTGAAGGAGGACAGAGAGGGAGCCTGGCTTGTCGCGTGAACAGGAAGCCATCGTATAGGCTTCCCCTTGGGCGACTTGAGATTTTGCATAAATGAGCTCGAAGCAGGATGCTGATGGGAATGAAGACCACCCGACCTTGTCTGTCTATTGTTCTCCGTTCCACCGTTCATCACTATTCACCTTATACATAAATTCCTATCCTCAAGATGCCTGACATCAGCAGCAACAGCAGCAAGGTAGGATTTGGCCTTTCCGATCGCCCTGATATACCAAAGACTAAACAGCTTTAGGGGTCATCCAATTATGAGGAGTACAAGCATTGGTTTTGCTGCTCGTGTGGTGCTCTCAACTCGTCCTGGGTTTCAAAATGCTATGATCCCGGCTGCCAGCACGTCCAATGCACGAGTTGCAAGAGGGACAACCAGATTGTCCGTGAAACGGCATCCCCTTCCTGCTCATCTTCCTCAACAAGGCGCTAAGCCTCAAAGAATGGAGATGCCTTTTCGACTTAAGAGTAATCCATACGGCACCTCAACATCATGGCCCTTTAAAGAGATTGGGCTTTAATCTCACGTAACGCTTTCAATACATCACTCGACACCCTCTGGAGCTCCCATTACATCAGTCATCTTTTACGTATTCCAAGTCATGGAGGTCTCCTATCCTTAGATCTTTTTTTCGACTCACGTCGACCATCGATATTTCGGAGGCGCTCAAATTCAGGTCTGGAGTTCTCCAAATTCAGTGTTTTGGCATGGAGGAAAAGCAAACCGCTAAGCTAGGAATTTAATATAATTGAATTTTATTTTGGTGACTTCTTCCTGTCCGGGTTTGTGTTCTTTTTGTTTTAGTTTGTCGGATCACGATTTTGAGAATACGGCGGCGATCTTGCTCGGCTTTCCAAACCAAGTATTCGTTCCCTTCATCCACTGCCTTTCTCGTATTTGGTGAATTGCTTGTTTTTTTCAAGAGTAAGAAACTCATACGACTCAATGTCGCACCTGATCTCCCGAATTCGAGTCCTGAAGTTTAGTTCTTGCTTCTCTTCGTCATCCGTTCTCTCTCCGTTTCTCGTTTTTGCATCTCTCTTATTGCTGCGCTTTCTAACTGAACTTACGGTTCAGATTTGTTCAGATTCTGAGTCTGGTGAAGTTCAGGGTCAAAATACCCGAAGCTTGACCCGTTGTTATTCAAACTGCGCTAAACTGAAGATATCCTTGAGCCACCAGTCACACAGTGCTTGAAACACATCTGAGTGTTCACCAAGATAAACGTTAGCTAAGTGTCACATACTTTGTCATGAAAAGCCACATTCAGGCGCCTCGGAGGTTGGAGATACTGAATTTCACCAACCTGAATGGTCCAAAGATCACTAGCCTTTGCGACACTCGCTGATGTCGATGCCAAAGAGCTTAGAAAGTGGCCATATCTATTCAATTCACCATGTCAGGGGCCTTTGAATGAAAAATAGTCATATACCAAGTCCTCTAGAGAGGAGGCCCGGTCCATGGCGGACAGGGAGTCGACAATCAATATTTGTATTACACGGGCCAGCCATCTTCCCATCCCTCCACCACCGCCCTTTAAGCATGTCCTGTTTCTCATACTGGACTTGATTCCCAAGGTTAACTATTAGGCACAGTAGCAGGATATGATCAGCCTCAAAAGGGGGAGGACCAACTCATCGGCAAGAGCTGCGAATGGTCTTACACAACCACAGTGACAAGGGGCTTTCCGGTGAGGACAAATAAGGCAACCACGCTTTCACATTACCCATTGGTTAACTATTAGAAGGCGATCTCGAGGCAAGTCTCGGGGCTCAACGGGCTGATCGATGGGATAAATAGGAACAAACAAATCGCAAGGGCAGAATTCCAAAGATATGATTGCTGCTCTAAGAGTGCGCCGGTCGGACGTCAATCCACTTCACTTTACACAGCAAAGATTCCACGCACTCAGCCATGCAGCAATTCTCGGAGGGGCATCGGAGCGGCTTGGGGCCAGCAAGTGGACGTCATCGCTCCCAAGAGGCCCAAGGCACCCAAGGCAAACATATGATGCCCCCTGTATTCACCGATTTCTGAGGTTTGTCATACCTTAGAGTGGAAGAAGCTACACCATTCCGAGTGAACTCGAGACAAAAGGGTCGGAAAATCCAGGGTGAAGATAGAGAGAGGGACAGGCTGACAGAATCATAGAAAATGCCCAGTACGTATGCATGATGGCTTTTGGTGCTCTAAGTACTTCATGTTTGACTAGAAATAGGAACGACTGGAGAGGTTGAGATAAACAGGCAAACAATAAAACCTAAAACATGAAAAATAAATGGAAGGAAAAGAGAAGATAGGGTGGGTGTACATGCCACCAGCAAAATTCCGTTTGGAGCCTCAAGGTAGTACGTACCGGGGGCAGTGCACTGAAGTGCCGAAGAAGGGTTGCCAGGGGCATAGGCCAATCCAGTTACAAAGTCCGCTAAAGAACACCTTAGGCCTGGTCTTCAGGGCATCAATTATCCTGGAAATGAGAATAATCCACGTAACAGCAGAAGCCTCGCGGGACTGAAAAGAAGGATGGGTAGGTAGTCCGCGAACCATCTTCCCCCATTGACGACAAAGAATCAACCACCTCAACCATCATGGCCAGCAATTGCTAACGGTAATTCGCAATTTTCCACTCACCGCTGTTCTGCTTGAGAATTGGAGACGGCAATTGGACCAGACAAGGCTTCCAATGGTATTGACATGATGGTGCGGGTAAAAGATCAAAGTGACGGTTCCAAAGATGGCGGTTGGGGGCCATCTGATTGCTGAGCCTCCTCGACTTCTTTACACTATCTACACTAGCAGCAACATGTTAGCAAAGTTGTTAGTGTGTCCGGTCGACTGGAAACGGGAAAGTGCAACTCGGCAGGTAGGGTGTGATTGAGCGCGGGTTCGGTGGAGCTGCCCCTGTCATGCTGCAGTGGAATAGCAGCTGGCAATATGGAATTCCGATAACTCAGCGGCGTAGAGGCGCGGGTCCATTCATCCGGGCAGCCCCCTGCAGATGTTACCACAACGACGCACCACCAAACAACCTTCGTGTTGACGAGCAGAATCGAGGATCTTAAATTTCAAAAAGGCACTGGGGCTTTAATACTCTAGGGACTGACCCTATACTGTACAGCATCACCAAGACCGCAGAGAAAGATACCTAGTTACGGAAGGAGCATCCAGTGCAGCTTCGGCATCAAGGCTTGGCACACACAAAAGAAGAGGCCTCACTTTCACACACCCACTCATACGCCATATCTCTCGATTCCCGAAGTCATACATAAGTCGTACGCTACACAAGGCTACCGCCCCTCCGGAACTCAAATTCCAAGAATCATAATACCATCACAGCCGACAAGATGAGTGTCCAGCCTCCCGCCGCTGCCGCCGCCGCCGCCACCGCCGGGCCCGGCTCCGGCTCCGGTTCCGGGTCTCCTCACCCAAGCCAGCTTCCCGGCCCGACCCCATCCTCCTCCGTCGACGGCAATTTCCTCCTCCCCTCTCCACCCTTCATCTCCGCGCCTGGGCTCATCAACCTCCGCGACATCGGTGGCTACGAGATCCCAACCACCACCTCTGGCCACCGCAAAAAGATGGTTCGGAAGGGTGTCATCTTCCGCTCCGCCGACCCCACCCAGCTCACGGACGAAGGTGTAGCCGTGATGCAAAAGCTGGGAATCACGCACGTGTACGACTTCCGGTCCAAGCTGGAGTTTGGCAAGACACCCGAGACGGAACCCAAAGAGTGGGCGGGCGCGCAGAGGTGCCATGTGCCCGTGTTTCCCGACGTGGATATGTCTCCGGAGGCGTTGGCGGTCAGGTTCCAATTGAGGAATTCTAGGTTTAGAGATTATACGGATGGGCCGGCGGTGAGTGTCTTTCTGTGTTTCCCCCCTTTTTTCCCTTCTGTATCTTTTTTTTCCCTTTTTTTATTTTCTCTTTTGTTACTCCCTCGTCTCTGGACGCGAAGGGATCTCGGGGGAGGGGAGTGTGTTGAGAGAGTACGGAAAGGGTGTAGATGGTGCCATCTTGGGCTATCTAGTATTTCTAGGCGGGAGTCGGGGTCACTTGAAACGGTGCTTGCACTGAGGCTTGTCCCAAAGCGTGTGGAAACGCGGTTTCTAGACCCAAGGCAAGAGGGCACAGGGGACTTGTAGATGACACAAACCTGTCATGAAGCCATGATGAAAGCTTCTGTGAAGCAGATAGGATGGATCAACCGCTGTGCTGGCGCGTGTTGCGTCTCATCCTTCGTCGCCTGACCATTACGTCCTCCCTTTTCAAGTTGCATCATATCACTTTTTCATGTTCGCTCTGTTTGCAAAGACGGCTATGCAACAGCAAGCAAAACACAATGTACAACTTTGCTTCAAGAACCTTGATGGATACGGCATATCCTTCGTTGATACTTTACTTTCCTCTCGCATGTCATCTTGGATGCATAGTCGTTTTTGCACAAACGCCCTACGAGGCCGATACAGCTCTCATTTTCTTCTTTCCTCTCTCTCTCTTTTCGTCTTTTCTTTCGTTTTTGATTCTTCTGTCTTTTTGTTTCTCTTTCTACTCTCTTTCATCCCTTTTCCTATTCTTCCTTTCTTCCCTTATCCCCCCTTGCGCTTCAAAGCACCACCTCTAACACCAAAGTAACAACACAGGGTTTCGTCCGCGCCTACTCAACCATCCTCGCCGGCGCCGCAGACCCTCACAACACCTACGCCCCTTACCGGACCATCTTCCAGCAACTCGCCTCCTCCTCTTCTTCCTCTTCCTCTTCCTCTTCCCCATCCCCATCCACACCCCCCAGTCCCAGTCCCCTCCTAGTCCACTGCAGCGCCGGCAAAGACCGCACCGGCCTCTTTGTCGCCCTCCTCCTCTCCCTTCTGCACCTACCCCCCACCATCATCGCCCACGAATACTCTTTGACCGACCTCGGCCTGGCGCACCGCAAGCCCGCCATCGTCGACCACGTGATGCTCGACCCAGCCTTTGACGGGGACCGGGCAGCGGCCGAACGAATGGTCTCCAGCCGGAAGGAGTCCATGTTGGCTACGTTGCAGTACATTGATGAGGAGTATGGAGGGGCGGAGAAGTATGTGATTGAGAGGTTGGGAGTTACGAAGGAGGAAGTGGAGAGGATTAGGGAGGTTATGATTGTTGATGTGGAGGGGGGGGAGGAGCAGGGATTGGTTGATTGGAGGCGGAATGCGGAGGCTGTTGAGGAGGTTTACCGTAGATGAAGAGCAGGGGGAGGTAGTGGAAGGGAAGGGGCTCTATATGAGGACTGTGCTGGAGAAGAGAATTGGGTTTCGCTGTAGGGCCGAGGCTTTGGGGAAGTCCAAGTGTGAGAAGATGGGTTGTTGGATAGTGATCTTTGCTCAAGACTCGAGCTCAGATGATCAGGAGACATCGTATTTATACGTTTAGTACATACATATCAAGACATAAGCATCAGCAAAGCCCAACAGAGCGTGTTGAAGTTTTCCAGCCCGCAATCTTTAATTGGTCACCCATCATGATCACAAGCCATGATAAGCCCTCGTTCACTTGGAATAGAAAGGCCTCCAGATGGCATTTACGTCAAACCCGCGATATCTATTCCTGGTCGACGTGTGTAACCTGCTTAAATTTCGTAAAGCCGTGAGGCATAATTTCTTCTCTTCTCTTTTCCACTTCCTTGCCTCCTCACATACCCATAACTTTTCCATAACCTGAAGCCCATAGTCTCGTGATACTGATCCTCTACATGCAAACCAATGCTCAAACACTACCCATCAAGAAAATCGATGCAAAAACACAAAAGCCTCCCCGCCATAGCTCGTGCTACTCCATTCCATGCCTTAAGCTCTCATGCATGCAGTGTTTTTTTGAGAACTGTATAGTCTCTTTCACTTCTTGATGCTCGAAAAGATATTACCTATGGATCAACAGTTGGTATACGGTATATGGCATGTAGAAGGAAAGAGAAGGTGAAGGGAGACATACCTTCACATATCAATAACCTGAACACTTCTCCAGAGCACAGGTTCTGCATGCCAGACTGCTACAACCAAGACAGCAGCTTCATGCAATCACTCGGTTCATGCATCCGAGCTGTTACCGGAGTGCTCATCCTCCGTCTTTTCCGTATCCTCTTCACCTTCCTGCGCCGCACCATCCCCATCAACGGAAGTGCCATTCTCCTCTGGCTTGGGAACCGCAGGGGCATCGGCCATCGGCCCGCCAGCATGGCCATCGCGCTCCATCATAGCCGCCAAGCGGGCCGCTCTACCTTCCTTCTTCCTGGGAACGGGAGCCCGTCCGTTCTCTTGGACGTAGAACTGCCTGAGCAAGGTGACGGCCTCATCGCGTCCCCAACCACCCTCTACCTCATAGCCTGGCTCCACATTGCCACCATCGCCATGCAGTTCAGGCTCGAAGAGAGACGTGGTGTCCTGGCCAGGTTGCTTGCCCACAGTCTCATTCTGCTTAGACTCGTCGATTTCATCACCGGCAGGCTCAGGCTCCTGACCTTCAACTCCACCAGTGCCGATGTTCAGAGCCGAAACGGGGCGACGCTCCAAAGCGGGTCTCGCGATACCCTTGCCGTTCTGGGGCGCAGGCGACGGAGGGGCTGAAGCCATTGAGAAAGGGGAGTTCTTATGAATGCGGAAAACACCTCCAGTTCCGCCAAACTTGTCGTTGACAGCACCAAAGTAAACCTTCTTGATACGAAGCTGGCGAAGAAGCGAGGCGCACATGACGCAAGGCTCGACCGTAACGTAAAGGGTGCACTCGGAAATAACCGATCGGTCAACGCGAGGAGCAGGGTGAAGTTTTTGGCCGTAGGGAAAGAGGTGGCCGTCACGGGGGTCAACATCGCCCCAAACGCTAGGCTCATCGTGGTTGCACTGGGGTTGCGCGTTCTTAGGCTCAAGATCAGCGTCACCAGAGTAGGACAGCAGAGCACAAATAGCCATGAGCTCGGCATGTCGAGTGCCGTTGCGGCTGACGTTGGTTGCGTTCATGCCCCTGGCGATTACTCGGTCCTTGTACACAAGTACGCAGCCGACAGGCGTCTCGTTGGTCTTGAGGGCGAGTCGGGCCTACAATCGAAACCAGTTAGCAACCGATGACACAAGCATGAGAGCAGTCAAGCAGCATGGAGACATACCATATCCAAAGCCTCCCTCATGAAGCCAGCGTGCATAGCTCTTTCAGCAGCCTCCTCAGGCGTCTCAAGTTCGGCCTCGAGTTGGGCTGCGCTATCAGTAAAACCCTCCTTCAGCTGACTAGTCTGCGAGAGCTCATGATTGATAGGGACAGCGGGGGAGCGGACAACCGGGGCCCTGGGAAGCGAGTCGACGATATTCCAACCGACACTAGTACTAGGGCCATGGCCATGAAAGACGTTGGTCTTGAGGTGTTGCCGAGGTTCGGCATCATTGGCACCATCAGCGGCTGCGGCAGGTGTGGTGTTGTTATCCTGGGTGGTGTTATCCAATGGCTGCTGAGTTGCCAAAACCCGATTGCCGGAACCGACGACACCGGTTGCGGCGACAGCAGCGGCGTCAGTCGCAATGCTTAGACGTTCCAAATCTCCGGTGAGGTTGTTCTCAGAATCGGCAGAGGCGGCAACAGTAGAGCCGGCCTTGACAGGGGCCGCATTCTCCTTTGCAGGGGCAACTAGGGGCAAGGCGGGAAGGATGTTGGGAACGGGAATCTTTTTGAGCGGCTGCTGTTCTGGTGCCAGCGTGGCCGTGGCCGATGACGTGCGGGCCATGTCGGGTTCCGTGTCGGGCAGCTTCGAGCTGTTTGCTTGTTCGGGCGTAAGCGACAAGAAGGACGCTTGCGGAAGAGCGTTAAGATTGGTAGCAGAGGCGTCTTCAGATTGATTCTTGAAATGCGATTGAGATGTGGTTGCGGGAGTGGCAGTGACAGAATCCTGATCTTGGATGTCAAGCTGATGTGAAGGTTGTTGCTGTTGTTGTTGAAATTGCCCAAGCTCGGGACGCGGGTGTTCTTGTTGCTCTTCACCGGCGGCGGTTTGCTGAGGTGGGGGCCCCTCAAGCAGAGGAATGTTAAAGTTGCTTGAGAACAAACTAAAGGCCGGTCGGAGGGTATGGTCGAGGAGAAAAATGGTGAGGGTCTGGAAGAACGCGGAAATGCGCTGGCCAGTGGCCGCGACCGCGTCCAGGAAAGTATATGCCATCCTGGAAGGTGGAAGCAGCAATCGCTAGACAGCAGCTGCAGTCGCAATCAACCTTTATTTCCGTTTTTATGCCTTGCAGTGAGGTTTCTGTAGCAAACCACTTTCTCGACGACGATGGCTTGACCAGAAAAAACCAAGGTGCAAGCTGCTTTCTTCCTTTTCAACCTGAACCCTTCCAGCAGTAGTGACACGCGCAGTTTCCTTCAGTCTTTCCTTCCTTCCTTCCTTTCTTCCTTCCTTCCTTTTTGTCTTTTCCAAAGTCCGCCACTTGCCGACACTGCAGTTTCTTGTACGTCTTTGAAACCTTTCTCTCGATATAATTTCCACCACACCTTCTATTCTTTCCTCTCCGTGATATTGATGTTTAAGCGTTAAGGATAAAGGGCCTGCAAATTCGTTGAATACCAAGTGACGCCAACGAGCTGGTGACACTCAGTCAAACTTGATGCACAAAGAACGACAAGTTTGCCTCAACAGCAGCACAAATAGGACTGCTTCTTTGCACAAATGACAAGCTGCCACCCTGCTCTGACGGTTGTGCTTGAGGATCAGTGAATGGATGCTCCTGTTGGGAATGGAAGCAACTGAAATTGCTTAATCGGTGTTGCTTGGGTGTTTTACTGGTTGCTGGTGATAATGCTGGCGCAGCGGTTGGAAGGAGCGACCTGGAATCCTGGATGAACGAATGTACACCTTGAGGATTCTCGGGGGCAAAACTCTTTCAAGCTCTCCAATTCCCGTCCGTCAACCCCAATCCAATATTGCGGTTCCGGGTCCGCACTCTGTTACGCTGCCGTGTGTCTGTGTCCCGTCTTGGGTTTGTGTGTGAGGCCAACGATGGGAACTTTGGACGACTGACTTTTTCTTTCCGTCCCGTTGCGGAAGTGTATGTCTGTCTAGTATGTATGTAAACGGCGAACTGCGGCCACCAACAGAACAGAACAGAACAGAACAGCTCCGTCCAGTAGTTGTGAGGTGTCGCCAATAACACTCTGCAAGCGTTTGGTGTTGTTAGTCTTGTTGTGCGCTCATTCATGAAGAGAAAAAAATGAATCAAAAAGAGAGTGACAGGGAACGGAGAGGACAAGGATTGGTGAGTGAGAGCTTTTCCAGTTTCGAGGAAAAAGAGGCCCACTCTGACCGGATGTAGGCGTATCTAACCTCTACCTCTGCTCACTCTTACTCCATCCAAAGAACACCATCCTCAATGCTCACTGTAGGAACACGTCTATTGCTCAATTTAGACTTGAGGACGGAAAGCGAAGAGAAGCAGCAGAACAAAAGTGAACAAATGGGGACCTACATTGACTTCAATTTCCGTCTCGACCTCGCTCAGAAAGGGTCGATATGGTAAAGCTCGTAAAGATCGGTAGACGTTGCCGCGCTTATACGCCACAAAACGCTGCCAAATCACAATGGATGGATATTGACAGCAGCAGAAAAAGTATAAAAAGAACGTTTTGAAACCAAAACAGACACAACTTCAAGTCGAAAGTGGCCACGACGGGGCCAACATCAAACTTGTGTTGCCGTTATCCATGTTGTACCTTCTTTGCGACTTTGCATGTGCTGCAGACTTTTGTTGGGCTAGACCTTGAATGGAAGGGCGAACTGGCTCCACTTTCGTCTGGTGTGATGTTTTGCATAATTGCATGTCTGTGCGGGGTTTTGCACTAACAATTTCATTGAAACCCAATGATCCTTATCAGCTTATCAGCGACTACCGGCTGGCCATGGAACGAACAAAGTCAGGACAAACACATCGATAAACGTGGACTCCAAAGCCCAATGTCATCGGCAAATAGACAAGACACCCACGACTTAGTAGGTGGGTAAACACCTTTTGAGGACAATGGATGACCATAAGAACAAATGAAAGGATTAAAAGCAAGACGAATATGTGAATCCGTCTTGGTGTTTACGGCACTGTCATCGATTTGGTGGTTTGGCCCGGCTGCAGTTATTTTGTCGTGGACGAGCCACAGCAAGTTCGACGTCACAAACAAGATAACAGATCCAAACACCTACAGCAATGTGAAATTGATCAAG